GCAATCACACCAAAAAGGCGCCTCGATGTTTAAGAGTTAGCTTTCTTTTACTTAAGGGGTTTCACATTAACCTTTTTAACAATATTTTTTGCTTGCAAATAATCATTAGTGACACCTACAGGTTCAATATTCAGTTTCGCTAGTTCCGACTCGATTGGAAAAATATAAGGTTTTAAAATTTTGAGTTTTTCAATTATTTGCATATATTTGGGAATATTTTAATGCATTAAATTGATTGGGTGTGCTCTATAATATGTCTCAAATGTTGCGTGTGAATTTTGGCAAACTCTGGGAATCTCACTTTTGGAGCGCAGCGGTGCTGCACTTAGCTAAGGCGCTAGAAAGTGATATTGCAGCACTAGCTCTTGGGTTTTTGTAGATTTTTGTGAGTGATACACTCCGATTTGAGCATCACACATTATGAATATATTAAATATTAAAAAAATTCATTTAATTCGATCATTTGCATTCGAGCAGTCGGCGTGCAGGAGAAAAAAAAAAAGAGAGGTTGAATCGAAACAAAAATTCGTGTTTTGAGTCGCTTCGGGACGTTTTAAGCTATCGGCCATGTTGAAAATGTTTTAGGTCACCTTATGCACATCTCAGTTTTCAAATATACAATTTTTTTTCAAATTTTCTAATTAAAGTTGTATTTTTGTTAGCAAAAAATATGTATAACTTTGCACCGATAAAATATCCACCACATAACTTTTTATATGTTATAGAAAACATGATTATGAATATTTTGAGTGTTTTTTTGAAAATTTTATACCTGATATTTTGGAATTTATGTGATTTTAATTGAATATAAAATAATGTGAACACTGAAAAATAACGTTGTTGTTTAATAAATGTCTTGAAATAGTGCATGTTTTGCACATTTCTTTATAATTTAATTATATTTTGACATTGTGAAAATTTGCTTCTGCGATGAAATGTATTAAGAGTATAATTTAATTATACTATCAGTCACTTGACTCCTTAATAATCCTATTATTCCAAAGCTAACTTTGACTCCTATACGTTGTTGTCCGTAGGCCTATCTTTTGTCGTGGAATTTCTTCTTCATCACAAAGTTAATTAGAACTTTGAAAGAGTTAATCTTCTTTGATTAGCTTCCATTAATGAATCTTGCCCATAATACTGCTTTCATTCATTCAAGTTTAATCTCTCTTCTATGACTTAATCAAATTAGAAAACAAAAATGATGGAGAGTTCTTTGTTGTTTTTGTAGATATAGAGAGAGTGAGAGAAATTATGTTATCCCTTTTATTGTTTTTTCAAGAGAAATTTTTTGATTGGATTTTTTTTTTTTCTTATGCTTGATTTGAAATAAAATGAGGGTAAGTAAAATTTTTTACGTGAGTTTTAAAATATTTGTATTTGATTGGATTAAAAAAAAATCAAAGTAAAAAAAAAAAGAACAAAATGTAAAATATTTTAGTTTATTTTAAGAGAAATTATATTCACCTAATTTATTGATTTAGAGAGAGAGATTATGTTATCCCTATTAGGGGCTGATTGGAAGCAGGAGTAAGGCTGGATTTGAGATGAATTTGAGCGAAATTCAGCTAAACAGCCTAAAATGCAAAACCAAATCTCACGACAAATGAAAGCCACCATAGACGGAAAATCCCGCCTTTTCATGCTAAACCCCAGATTTTCGAAATCCTGTTTTTTGTCGGATTTACGAAATTCGTTGGCAGGAAGAGTCCCTCATTAAATCCGTTCTATAGCCAAGCAATCACACTGGATTTAATAGGATTTATAATGATTGTTACCAAACAATTTTTCAGGATTTCCGAAATTCGGATCTACGAAATCCTGCTTAAATCAAATCCTGGGTGCTACCAAACAACCCCTTACTATCCTTTGATTATCAGGAATTATATATTTATATGATTGGATTTTTTTTTCATGCTCCTCATTTTTTTATCCTTCAAAATTTCTTGGAAGCTATTTGGTTGAACTCTTCATAAGAAATATAATTTTTAAGCTGTGTTTTTTTTTTTGGTAAACGACTGAGTGTTGACTTCATCAACCCACTCATGAATTTTGTAAACATTTTCGTACCAACATAATATTTTCTTCCTTTGAAATCAAGCGAATGAATCTTATCTTTACTTTCAAAATTTTCCTTCAATAAATAAATCATATACAAATAATAAATTCTCCACAATGAATCCACTTTCTGCTACGTTATAACTTTGCTCCAATAAGAATCTTCAAAAATAAAAAAACAGAATCTTGATTAATATATCATCAAAAGCTTTCATACTTATTGATATTCCATCTTATTAAACTAAATCTTTATTAATTAATATATATATACAATGCACCTTATTAATTATTATAGTATATATGTAAGAATTTGATAAATAAAATTTTATGCCAATTGTTTCATGCTAGAAATCTTGCATCCGTAGAGTTGGTATATATGACTTAGGCTTCATTTGAGATGACTTTTTTACTGCTTCTTAAAGCTGTTTTATAGTAAAAAAAAATTAATTTTTTTTATTAAAAAGCTGCTTTAAGAAGCAATAAAAAGCCGTCCCAAACGAAACCTTAGCTTTAGGTAAAAATTTAGCACACATATGAAATGTTGTATAAGACAAGAAAAAAAAAGTTATGTAAAAATTTCTAAAAGGAAAAAAATTACTAGGTCTGACCTAATTAAAAAACCCATTATATAACAAAAAATATGTAAATGCACGTTAAATTATTTTCTAATTTCTTGTATATAAAAACTAATTTACAGCTTTTTTTAGCATCCAACAAGAGTTTAAATTTTATGTGAATTTTCACCATAGTTTTCGTTGACAGTTTTTTTACTGCTTTATTAAGCAGTTTTTTAGTACAAAATTTTTATTTTTTTACAAGAAAATTGTTTTAAGAGTTTTCAACATAATTTTAGTTTTTATCAAATAAGGTTTCTTTTTTTGCTTTTTACGGTTCCATAAAGCAGCTTTTTAGTACAAAAATTTTAATTTTTTATAAAAAAAAACTGATTTAAAAAATAGTAAGAAAGTCGTCCCAAATGAAACCTAAGTGCTCATATAATTTTGTTGCTCTTAATTGACTTGCGCTTCATACCATTTTTCTATGAAAATTGTATGTTAAAATTTCCTCTTCCAAATGTACACTGTTCTAAGAGTTTTTGGTGCTTTAAAAGCACCATTTTTCATGCTTTTGGGCCTCATTACTATCTCTCTTTCTTGTAAGGACAGCTAGCAACTTCTTTCAAGGTTCTATTGGCTTTTTTTTTTTTTAATTTATTTGTTTATTTCAGTAACTCAGATCATTCATATTAACAAGTTCTCCAATCCACTTTTTGCTGGTTATAATTTCCATAAAAAATCTCTCTCTCTCACACACACACATAGCTTTTAGTATGTTAATTTAGGTTATTTTTTACATTGCTGTTTTCCTTTGTGTTGTAATATGAGAAAACTAACTTATCGCAGCTCCATCATAAGATTTGTTTGATCTTCTGACCTTCGACAAAATTTCTGTAAGAGATTTCAGTTGTTGAGATTCATAACGATGAAGTGTTTTGTTGCAAAACCAAAAAAAAAAAAAAATGATGAGATAAGAGAAGTAATGACCTCACCAACACTGGTATTTAATTAATTTTCATTTTATAATCTTTCGAGAAAATATTCAAAAATAATTCTTTGATTATTTATGAAAGATCAAAATAGTTCCCAACTATTTTAAATAATCATTTAGTATCTCAAATTTTTAAAAAGAATCAAAATAGTTTCATGGTGAGACTATCTTGATCAATTTTTAAGGAGTTCAGCAGTTAAAATGGTCCTTTAATATAGTTGAAGATCATTTTGATCATTCAAAACGAATCAATTGATCATTTTTTCATAATCATTCTACCGTATGAAAGAACATCTCACACATGCTCATTGACAAGTAAAATTTTAGAGTAAAATCTTCATAGAGGTTGGAATCAGAGGTGGAACCAGTCCTAATTTTCAGGGGGGGCAAACTTATAAGACATATATATCGGGGGTCCAAGGGGGCAGTGTCCCCTATTGGGGTTCGACCTGTTGGGGGCAATTACCTAAAGATCATAGTATTTTAAAATTTTTAGGGGGGCAATTGCATAAAAATTATTGTAATTAATACAAAAAAATAAATAAAAAGGGATAAATTACCTAAAAAAACCATATAAAAAAATTTTAAAAAAATTTGAGGGGGGGCAATTGCCCCCCCTGACACCTATTGGGTTCCGCCCCTGACTTGGAATAGCTAGAGATAAGGAACCCTCCTTTGGATTTTGGAGCAGTGCTGCACTGTAACCATTTATCTAATATTTACAATTATTTTAAAAAATAAGCAACGGTGAAAACAGTGAGAGAATATAATCTTATCAATTAGCACTCTTTCCTCTGATAAATGATAATCTTCATAGTAGTAAATGGATTATTTTAGAAAAAAAAATATTGACACTAATAATATATCAACGGATAGACTAATCAAAATGAATATATTAATTATGATAGTCTTCTAATATAATAATTAATCTATAATTAATTAAAAATAAATAATATGTTAATTAATGAGACATAAAACCCATAATTCATAAGCTTTCATGATAAACTACCATTTCAAAAAGGCCAATCCTCAGTTTTCATTCCCCAAAATTCTTTATACCATTCAAATAAGTAAGAAAAACAACATAAAATCAAGAAAAAAAAAACATGTTATAACATTTTACTTAAAATTTAATCAAAATAATTTATAAAATATTTAAAAATAATTTATAAAATATTTTAAATTATTAATTTGAAGATGGATGGATGCAATATATGAATAATTAATCAATTTTTTTGTCTTCATCTGAGCTGAGGACAAAATTGATAGCTGAGGTATCATCTCCAAGGTCTAAGAAGAGATATTGTTTTGATTATCATGGTCAACTTGTTTGATTTTCATGAAATTCTTAATACTGATTTTCTACTAACAGAGAAAAAAAAAATTTATAGATGTATGTGGTTGAAGATAAAGATGGAGCAATTGCATTGATGCTTGTTGCCCTGTTATGTTTGGGAACATGGCCTGCAATATTTACACTTCTAGAGAGAAGGGGTCGTCTTCCTCAACATACATATCTTGACTACTCCATTACTAATTTGCTGGCTGCCATTTTCTTTGCTCTTACATTTGGTCAAATTGGAGACAGGAAATATAATATGCCTAATTTCCTCACCCAGCTTTCTCAGGTAATCTCCTTCGCATCTCTGAATCTTATAAGAGAATAAAATACTCTAAAAATCATTCTTTTTCTACTTATTGGAAATGCTTTGAATGAAGAAAAACTAGCCGTTAACTGAGTTGCGCAGGATAACTGGCCTTCAATATTGTTTGCAATGGCCGGTGGAGTTGTGCTGAGTCTTGGGAATCTTGCGACACAATATGCCTTGGCCTTCGTTGGACTTTCAGTGACTGAAGTGATAACCTGCAGCATAGCTGTTGTCTTAGGTACCAGATTTAAATTTTCTATTTCCTTTAAGTGAGATGATCAATCAGGGCCTTTATGCTAAAAATATATAAATTTTGAGAGATATTAGGCATGTCAAATTTAACTCATTGGGATGCTTGTTTTAGCTAAAAGTATATAAATTTTGAAATACTTTTAAGCCTTGTTGTGTGCTGGATATCCGTACAACACTGAGACGAAAACTTTCTAACTCTATCGCCGTGTTGCGGGCTAGAATATACATGGCGATAGAGTTAGATAGTTTTCGTCTTAGTGTTGTATGGATATCCAGCACACAAACAAGCCTATAAATGAACTTGAAAATTTTTCACTTTTGAGTGCTTGATCACACAGCCATTGTCAATAGCACCCAATGCTTCAATATTATCAAGAATGTGTATTTGCTTTAGAGTTTTAAACTTTGTTTGAGATGGCTTTCTTACAGCTTCTTAAAGCATCTTTCTAGTATAAAAATTTTAATTTTTATATTAAAAAGCTACTTTAAGAAGCAGTAAAAAAGCTGTCTCAAACGAAACCTTATTCTTTTTGTTATCTAAAACACCATGAATTGCATATCAGGAACAACCATGAATTATTTCTTAGATGACCGGATCAACAAGGCTGAGATTCTTTTTCCTGGAGTTGGATGCTTCTTAGTTGCAATTTTTCAAGGGTCTGCTGTCCATTCTTCCAATTCAGCTGACAACAAAGAGAAACTGAATGGCTCCTCAAGTAACAACAGGGACAAAACTGGGTAGAATTTCTTTATATCAGTCATCTGTAAAGATATTTTGGTATTCAAATAAGAAAAAATTAGGGTAAAGCATGCAGAAAAAAAAAGCATTTGGTGCATTTACATGGTTATCCTTTGATCTAGCATAATTCAATTTTGATTTTTGTTAAACAAATATGCAACAATTTTGATTGGAAAAACTTGTAGATCTCAAGTATTTCCTATAAATCTTTGGAGAACAACGAAAATTCTCCACAAAAATCCACACAAAACCACAAAAACAGTGATAAAAGGGAAATGGAAAATACCAAGATACAATTGATAATCTATTCGAGAGGAGGATCTATCTCTCCCAAATCTCTAGACGCCGCTACAACCCAAAACCTAAACCTAAGAGATCTCAAATTTCAACCAAATTCAAGATACCCTAACCCTAGGAAAACAAACTATTTAATGCATACCATTCAATGCTCTGTATGGGCAGTTGGATCGTGCGGGAGGTTCCGCCTCTGTTTCGTAAGCTAGCCCCGTATGGACCAGTCCAACACAATTTAAGGTGAACAATTCACAAAGCATTAAGTGTCCAATACCCCTTTCTTTTCTTAGAAGTACATGTGGTATTGCATTTCATTTTCTATGTTTTAACATTTTTGAGTTTTTTAAATCTAAGTGAGAATATTTGAAATCTATCATAACAAATAAAAAAGATATTTTAATTCATTTAATTTCCATCCAAACACACAACCAGTACATTCCTTAAATGCATTTTGTTTTTCTGAAGCACTTCATTTTGAAATTATCAAACTAAACAGCCCCTTTTTATCCTTCACCTTTGGTAGTATTTGCAAGCAGATACCCTTGTTTCATGTCCTAAAATCAATCATAAGTAATGTCATTGAAAAATTATTTAGTATAGTTTTTACTGTAAATTATTTTCCTTCTTAGTAATCATAGCACAAGTTGAAAACTGACAAATTTAAACTTTTTCAATTTGCAGTGCATATGAAGACAATAAAACTAGCAACAATGAAGAACCTGGGAAAGGTAGGAAAATACAAGTAATTTATAGCTCAGAAAAAATACACAATTTATAGATTTATGAGATTGTTTAAAGTATGGAAGCACTCTTACAGATCTAGAAGAGAACTTAGAGAGTGGAGCTCATCATATCTCAACATCCAAAACAGAGAAAGCAAAAGCTGGCACTGCTGAATACCTTATAGAACTTGAAAAAAAAAGATCAATTAAGGTCAGTAGTTTCAAGGCAGCATCAGCTAAGGTTTGCTTTTTTTTTTTTTCAAAAACAGCTCTAAGCCCTTGCATTCTCAGGTTATCGGTTCAAACACATTTCTTGGACTTGGCATAGTATTCTTCGCAGGCATTTGCTTCTCTCTCTTCTCTCCAATCTTCAACTTGGCCACAAATGACCAGTGGCACACCTTGAAAGAAGGAGTGCCTCATCTTGTGGTCTATACAGCTTTCTTCTACTTCTCAATCTCCTGTTTTATACTAGCCATTGTTCTAAACCTAATGTTTCTTTACAAGCCCGTTCTTGGGCTGCCAAGTTCATCCTTGAAAGCTTATGTGAATGACTGGAATGGGAGGCAATGGGCTCTACTTGCAGGTCTACTTTGTGGCTTTGGAAATGGCTTTCGGTTCATGGGAGGCCAAGCTGCAGGATATGCTGCATCCGATGCTGTTCAGGTGAGTATGGTTTGAGATAATTGATTCTTATTTCAAATTCATGAGCTGGTAAAGCTATTTATTGCCTTTTTCCAATGCACTTAAGGGATGGCATCATTGATTAGTGTTGCAAAAATCTATTTGTTATGAACTCATGAAGCTATAACACTTCATAAGCCTTGTTATTTTTGGATACATAGTGGAAATAAACGTGCTACAAAAGGATTGTTACGAGAACAAAATAGTTGTTGTGAAATCCCTTAAGTAAAAGAAAGCTAACTCTTAAACATCGAGGTGCCTTTTGGTGTAATGGCTGGAATTTCTATATGAAACTTTGCAGTTAAGCGTGCTCATCCTAGAGCAATTATGGGATGGTTGACCTACTGGAAAGTTACACCAACAGGACAAAACCGTGAGGCTCTTAGGCCAAAACAGATAATATCTCGATAGTTAAGAGTTTAGGCTGTTACAATTGTTATGTCTCTTGCATCTCGTGATGAACGACTAAATCATGGTCTTGCATTTGACTGTGGTAAGCCATGGAGTCATGAGTGGTATAAATTTCTTGAACGTTTTAGTCAAGGATATTTGGATCTTTGGCAACAAAGCCTTGGATATAGCTTCTATAACGTTCATGGTTGTCCAAATTTACCCTTTTCAACATGGTCAGAATATGCTTCAAAGTGTCATAAAAGATTTTCAAATTCTAAAATTTTCCCTTCTCTTCATAATATTTGAAAATCTTTAATATCTTCACTTCACTTCAAAATACTCATGCAACTTAGAAAATTTTTTGAAACTCCTAAGGCTTCGTTTGGGACAGCTTTCTCAGAGCTTCTTAAAGTAGCTTTTTACAAGAAAGCTACTTTAAGAAGCTATGAGAAAGTAGTCCCAAACGAAACCTAAATAAGAAAATCATTCTTCACTTGATAATTTTCATGTAGCATAGGACCTTTTCTTTTACTCAATGGATATCTTTTTGAATTATATTTTCAAGTTGGTTTAGAATCTTCTAAAGTTTACTTCATGAACTGAATAATATGAATCAGGCATTGCCACTTGTGTGCACTTTTTGGGGCATAGTTCTTTTTGGAGAATATCATCAGTCGTCAAAGAAGACTTACATTTTGTTGGTGAGCATGATTGCTATGTTCATTATTGCTGTTGCTGTTCTAGTGGCTTCCTCAGGACATAGGAAGACTTAATGGTTGGATCTGAAGATTTTTCACGCTTCCTTTTGATTTTTCTCTGTGATGAAATATAAAGGATCGTTATAGCCAAAGAAGACTTGCATTTTGCTGAAAGGTGTTAGATCTCTGGTTTGAATGTGATGAGGGCATCAACAGAAGATTTCAACGTATCAATCATTAAAAGAATCGTAGACCGATGGCTACAATTTAGAGTCTCTATTTATGATGTATTTATGTATTTCTTTTATTTATATTTCAGTTTTTACCATTGTACCCCTGTGAGGGATCTCTTTTATGCTGTAGCCCGAGGGCATTTAAGTCTTTTTATTTTCTTGATTTTGGAGGCCTATATATTAAGGCCTTAGTCATTGTATTAGGGTTAATGATGATTTGAATGAAATTTTTAGCATTTGTCTTATTCTTTCTTGTGAGCTTTTGAGAGAAGAGAGAACCCTAGAAGAGGGTCAAGCATCACCCATTAACCGTCGGTGGAGGTCGGGCTCATGGTTCGTATTCGTTGTTATTGTCTTTTCCCCTTCCCTTTTCCCCACCGCCGGCCAACCCTTCCTCTTCCACTCGTCGGCCTCCCTCTTTCCCCCACCCCAAACCGCCGGTTAAACCTCCTTTCCTCCTCCCCTAGCCGACCTTCCCCCTCCCATCCAACCCACAACCTAATCCCCCACCTCCGAGCCCTCTCCCACAGGAAACAAGCCCCACTGTCCCTCCCCTAGCAGCCGGCCTACCCGAGTCCACCCTAGCCGCCGACCATGCTAGCCTAAGCCATAGATTCTTGATGCGGACATCCAACCGTCCATGCTTATCCGAGGAGGAGCTGAAGATCGACGACCGAGATCACTTTGTTTTATTTTAGTTTATTAAATGTATTTTGATTTAATTTTTCAATTTTCCTTTTTACCCTTTTGTCTTATGTAAGCCCAAGGGGCTAATGTGTCTTTTAATTTCTTTTGAGGCCTATATATAGAGGCCCCTTCTCTTGTATTAGGATGATTATTGAATGAAAATTTGGCTCTTGTGTTCTCTTTGTGAGTTTCTTCTTGAAGATCTCTTAGTGAGTTCTTTTCTCCTAGATCTCTGTGTGAGTTATATGGAAAGCCCAAGGTGAGGGCAAAAGCAATACCCGCCAGTCATTGGAAGAGTCTGTGGCTCGTGGTCTACTTCCACCATCCCAATTCTCCTTATCCCCCATTACCTGCCGGCCTGCAGGCCTTGCCGCCGCCTCCCCTCTAATCCGCCCAGACCGCCGGCCACCAGGCCGCCGCCTCCCCATCGGTACCTCTTAAATGCCTCCTCACATAATTAATTCCATATTTCATCAGTTTTAATTTCAGATTTCAAAAATCTGAAAACTGAAACGGATTCCCTCTCTCCTCAGTTAGCTCCCTCATCCCGTAACCTGCTTTAATTTATTTCCAAATCAAGAAATTTCAATTTGGAAATGCTCTCTTTTGCTGGCCCGTGATTCCAGCAAGAGTGACTTGCTGCCAGGTGATCCCAGAGAGCCGTTTATGATTGTCCAAGGCATCCTGAAGTGCCTGGCAGCGGCCCAACCTTCCCAGGATTCCGTTAAACTGCTGCCCAGCAGATTTATATACTTCCACACTTGCTGTCCAGCACTGGAACTCACTTTATAGCTGTCCAGACTATTTCCTGGTTGTTGTTTGGAGTTTCCAGCACCTGAAATCAGCTACCCAAATTTTCAGAAGTTGTTTGGGCTGCGGTCCAGAAGCATTTCAAGTGTCGAATTGCTGTCCCGACCCTCATTGTTGCTGTCTCGGCGTCCCTAGCTGCTGTCCAGTCATTTTAGGTGACCTCCTATGGCTGTCTCGCTGTCCAGAATGTTCCCCATCGCCATCTTGAAGGCTCCATAACCTAAAGTTGCCGTCCACTCTTCCTCAAATGCATAAGCGACTACGCCGGAGCGCCGTATTTGTCGTTCCCTTGGATAACTTCTTTCTTTGGGTAAACTCTCCCTCCAATTCTCATGTCTTCTTAGCTTACTTCTTGATTGTGGTTTTATAATATTCATGAAGATAATGTTAATACTTCTCCGCTAAAGCCTAGTAATTAGAAGAGTTGTGTGAGGGATCATTCATAGCCTAATCTTATTGTTAGTATTGGAATTTATTGTTGGAACAATCTACGTATGCAATGTTAGATTGACATGGCTATCTTTTGAACTTAACTTCTAAGCATGAGAATGAACCTAAGCTAAGTACCACTTAATATTTATCTTATCGTTCAATTCCGCATAAGATCTTGCTTATGATTGCCTCTAAATCTAAGCTTGCAAACTTTCATTAAGAAAATCATTTTCGCATGATTATGTTTCACATCATTAATTGCTCCCCTAATCACTCCCTGAGCCATTAATCCCCCACAGCCCCACCTCTTTAATTCCTTCTTGAAACTCCTCTTGTCACTGGAAAGGAATTTGGAAACTAATTTTCAAATCCAGTAACTCTCACCTTTGGCTTTAATTTAGGAAATCTTTCCTAACATTAAAGCCTCTCTTTCCTGTAGATTCACGAATTCAAGGATTGGATTTTTCCCACCGTGCACATAAGCTCCCGTCTACAGACTAAAACATCCTCTCATAATTCCTTTTTCCCAGCACATAAAGTTGGAATGCCTTACTGAATTCTGAGATCAAATCTGAAAATTTCAGATTTCCTGAAGTGTATTTTTTCAGATTTTTGGAGAGGAGATCATCTCCTTAGCAAAGCCGTCCTATCCGTTTTACATCAATTCTACTTCCCAAATCTCCACATTAATGCATTCCTAATTTAGAGTTTCTCAACTTGGAAACTTCTTTTAATTCAAATTCAAACGAATTTGAATTTCAAATACTTTCCTAAATCAACAAACCTATTTTTAGAAACCCCTCAAATCACTTTAAATCTGAAATTAAAATCAGATTTAATTCTGTAATCACATTTAATGCTTGGGTCCACATACATTGTATGTAGATACTTCTCTTCCCTCTCCATTTGGCTGGCCCCCTCTTCCCCTCTTTCTAATTAAGTCCTTTCTTATTAAGGACTCCAAATTAGGGAGATAATTAATCCCTTTTTCTCCCTCCATCATCAAAGAAAAATTGAATTGAAATTCTCCCTCTTTTCCTTTCAAATTAATTTCAATTATTAATTACTCAAGATTAATTAATGTAGGAATTAATTCTCTTTTATTCTCTTGACTCCTCTCCCCACCTAATTCCCTTACCCAAAGCTCCCCAAGACCGACCAACTTCTCTCCCTCTCCATCAAACCGCCAGCTACTTGGCCTGTCTCGAAGTTGAAGCGACTTCTCTTCCCCATGGATGGCCGATCCCAAGCTAGCGTGACCACGGATTCATCTACGACCATCAAAGCTTAGTGGATATTCTACAATCTCCTTTCTTCGACGTCAATCTGGAACTTGACGATACCGTCGACGAATACGTCGACCGCATCCTCTTCACCTTGACATTAATTAGCTATTGAATAACACCAACCCTCCGAACATTGGCGAATCATCGGACATCCTTCCGCATCTTCCCCTCCGGCTCACTTTCCGTGGATCAATACCGTAGGCGTCCTCATTCTTTCGGTGACATCTCTAGGATTGCTGAAATTATTCTTCCGCTAACCCCACTATTAAGAGTGAAAAAAAGGTAAACTCGAAGGTGAATTTTCTATTTGTTAAACGGTGAATTTTGTTATTTTGCATCTAGTGTTACTACACTTCATTTGTTCTTATTTTAAATCATCTTGTTAATCTTCCGTGTAACTAAATACCAAAGCACTCTTGCAATTAAGAAATCTGAGATTCTTATCTTAGTGAAATATTGAGTTTACAATTATCAAAGCTTCACAATTTGTCATTAATCTCTAAGCAATTCCTTCTTTCATATATGTTTCACATCAGAATGAAAGTGTATAACTAATTGAAAAAACATACTATCGTAGTCTGAATAAATGATTTAGGCTTCGTTTGGGATGTCACGTACTAAAAAATTGCTTCAAGAAACTGTAAGAAAGCAGTCCCAAATGAAGCCTTAGAATACTTTTTGAGTTCGTGAATTCATGTTTTCCTCAAGACTTATGTGTAGATTCAAATATAAAATTTACTTATTCAATTTCTGCACCTACCCTTTCACAATTGAGAAAAAAACATACAATGGTTATGGTGTAGAACCTTCTTTGCTTTCCAAAGTCTTAAAGAAAATTGAAAACCATTTGATATCTTTTACTATAATATTGTTGCCTATAAGCAGGCAAACAATGTGGATAAGCTTGCCAAACAAATAACGACAACAAGTAGCATCTTCAGAGCTTTGCTCATCAATTGATATATGCAGAGCATCAATTGGAGAGCTTGCAGGTTTACGCCTGAGAAGCCATATTTCTTTTAGAAAGAAAGAAGGCAAACCTAAACTCCCTGTTGGGGAAATCTTGAGGAGGAAGAAGCTTCTTGATCTTTTTTGGATGAGATGGAGAGGGCGAGAAGGGAGAGAGGGGTTTTGGAGAAAAATTAAACCCCACCCACGAAAAATTATTCTGTTCGGATACGAGACGGCGACAAGAGACCAACTAGTACGTCAGTTTTTTGCTTGGTATCGGTGCTCAGTACTGGGTGATTACACGTTATGATTGTTCTCTAAACTGTCCGATATCCGCACAGAATAACGCACAGAATAATTTCTCCCCCGTCTAAGCTTCCAACCAAAAAATTAGAATCCTTTGCAGAAAAAATAAATAAAATAATTTAAGTCTGATTTAATTCAACTACAGCTAAAATGAATCTGTCACGTTACGCCAAATTCCATGAATTCTCTCTCTCTCAAATTCTTGGAAGATGTCACATTTAGAATTTTCAACGGATCAAAATCTTATGTTATTTCACGTCTCTATCATTAATTTGTTTCTCAATAAATGATCATAAAATTAATCAAATTATAAAAAATTTTATTCTAAAATATCATTGAATAAGAGTTGTTCATTGATAGAATCTTAATTAAAATAAGAATCGAATATGATCCTAATTTTATAAGAATTTTATTCAAATAAAGTAATTGGTCTTTATTTAAATTTTAATTAACTTTTATATTAGTAGAATATAAATCCATCATCTGAAAAAAATCACATATCTTTTATTTTAAATTATAATTTTAATTGATCCCTAGATTTTTCATTCTAAAGATACTAGTTTATACTCTTATATATCTTTTTCATGCATTTTTAGATTAGCTTTTAAATGTCTTTTTATTTTATCTTTATTATGTTTACATTATTTTATTAGAAAGAAATTTATATATGCTTATTGATATGCCATCAAAAAATTCATTTGATCCAAAATATATTTTAATGTAATTTTTAGATATTAAAACATTCTATTCGACTGAGATTGTTAAACGAGCATCTAGATAAAGCTAGTCATGACTCATGATATCACTTATGCTTTTCTCCAAGTTTAAATGGACCTCATTTGACAAACATAATTTTATTAGTCCAATGATTGAACAATTTTTGAACATCTTTGATCACGGTTTGATTAGGGCTGTCAATTTTTGACACGACCCGAAACACAATCCGAATCTGACCCGGAGAAATCCGTGTTAGAGTCAACCTGGACCAGAAACGGGTCGGGTTCGGGTTCAACAAATCAACCAGTTTTAAAAATCGATTCGGGTTCGGGTTGACCCAATAACCCGAAAATGACCCAAAAATGACCCGAAATTGACACGAAAACTCCTATTTGACCCGAAAAAATGAGATTAACCCGATTTTGACCCGAAAATCGAAGATTGACCAGATTTTTGACCTGAAAACTAGCAATTTTAGGTCAAATTCGGGTCATTCGTGTCGGGTCGGGTTGACCTGGACCCGAATCGGGCTGGATTCAGGTCAAACGGGACGGGCTCGGGTTGACCCGAATAGTGTCGGGTCAATTCCAGGTTCGCCCCGAATCCGACCCGTTGACTCGAATTGACAATACCCTAGGTTTGATTGTTGTTTGAAGATTTTTGCATTCATGATCGAAGATGGTTTGTTATTGATATGCAAACCATCTAACGTACGCCATTGACTTCTTTTTTTGCCGTAAGAGCTCTCTAATACCTATTTATATAATTTAAATATAAAAAGTTAAGGGATAGATAAATATAAAAATTCAAATTTTAGAACTGTACTTACTGAAAGTCGGGGAATCATATTCCTCCCGAGATTCCGTAGGCGAGGTCATTTTTTTTAGTTTTTTTTATTATTAGTTTTCATGTTCATGATTCCACTATTCGAGTATATTCTCGCCTAGTATCTTTGTCGCCGCTGTTCTCTTGAATGGTTTTGAGTTTTTTTTTTTTTTATCTAAAAAACCATTACAGCTTACTTATTGGATTCAAAGACTGGTTATTTCCACTGAGACGGTACTTCATTTGGCTACTCTCCTTTTCTGAAGGGGTTTTATGCATCTTACGGCATCAGTTTTCAGCTGGAAGCGTTGGATGATTTGTGTTGTCTGAGTTCTGTGAATTGTTTCTCAACATTTTGATGGTTTTGTGTTGGTAGCTGAAAAGTTCCTGTTTTATGATTTTTACTGCAAAAATGACAGTTTCTTTCAATTATATATATTTTTGTTCTTTTCATAGTAGGTGTTTGGAAATTGCGTATTTTTGACTTGGCTCTTCTTTCCAGCATTTGATGGACACATCTATTGGTATGTTATACTTTTCTTCTCCAAGGAAACTGTCTTGTGGGAAATTCATGGCGCTTAAAAGGGCCATCTTTATAGATTGGGGCTCAGAGGGTCTTGAATCTTGATATATATTTCTTTTGATGAGCTAGCTTCTTCTCTCAAGGTTTCATTTGGTTTTATGCGGTTCTAAATTGCATGTATGATGGTTTTCTTGATTTTTTACTGATTTTCTTATAAATCTATTTCAGTACTTAAGCAATTCAATTTTGTGAATCTGCTTTTTAGAGCTTTGGCTTCTTTTCCTATTAACATGATAATTTAATATAGTATTGATGGACTATTTTCTAAAGCTCATCGTGAATCAGTTAAGAATTTGTTTATTCACTCTTAGGCTTCGTTTGGGACGGCTTTCTTCCTACTTCTTAAAGCTATTTTCTCGTACAAAAATTAAAAAACATTGTACTAGAAAGTCACTTTAAGAAGCAGTAAGAAAGCCGTCCCAAACGAAGCCTTAGGCTTTGTGCTTTCTTGTATCTTATTCATCTTTTTGTTGCATTTGATTAAGGATATGTTTGGGGAAGTTTCTTTGCTCATTCTAATTGGTTAGCTTTTTAACTATTTTTCACAAGAAACTCTTACAATCAGATTTGATATAAGAAAACGGCTCGACTTTTTTAGAAGTGCTACTTTTAGTTGCTTTTACTTAAACTTTAATTCATATACTGATTCTGTTTGTGTGATAACGTTTGTTTAATCACTTAGTTGTAATCTGTAACCTTTTGCTCATGCCTGTTTGAATCTGTTGAAGTGTTTTCATTCAGAAGTGTTCAGAAAAATTCTCACAGGTTGTTTTATTTTTCAGGATTTGGTACTCTTGATTCATTCTTTAGCAACCAAATTTTAGAGATGTATGTGGTTGAAGATAAAGGTGGAGCAATTGCTCTGATGCTTGCTGCCTTGCTATTTTTAGGCACATGGCCTGCAGTTTTGACACTTTTAGAGAGAAGGGGTCGTCTTCCTCAGCATACATACCTTGATTATTCTATTACAAATTTGTTGGCTGCCATTTTAATTGCTCTTACATTTGGTCAAATTGGAGATAGCAAACCTAATATGCCTAATTTCTTCACCCAGCTTTCGCAGGTAATTTTCTTCTTCACATTTTAAATCTTAAATTTATGATGGCTCTTAAAGTTCTATTTGAATTATTGCTTTAGTTTCCTCTTACTAAAAGTATTTTGAATGCGTTTTTTTTTGTCTAACAATCAGAAGCCAGAGGGTTCTTTTTCATAGGATTAGATAGTCCTTTATCATGTGTGAAGTTATGTATTTATAACCATTAACTGATTTTCTAAATAAATGTTTTGAATTTAAAAATGAAAGCCCATTAAATGAAGTATTGGAAATGTTTGGGATCATAATATGATCAGTAATTGACTAACTTGTTCAGGATAATTGGTCTTCAATATTGTTTGCAATGGTTGGGGGAATTGTACTCAGCCTTGGGAATCTAGCAACACAATATGCCTGGGCCTTTGTTGGACTTTCAGTAACTGAAGTGATAACCAGTAGCATAACGGTTGTCATAGGTAATATATTAACACTTTTGAGTTATTTTTCTTTCTTTTTACTTTTCTTTTGAGCTAGAGCAGTAGATATCCAAACCCTGCATTGGCGTGAGCTTCATGCTCAAACCATATGGTCAGACCTTTTCTATAGTTTCATGTATGAAAATTACACTATTATGCTCAAACCTTGCATTTCATGAAGTACCAATAAAAACAAAGACACACAGCACTTGTTGCTGATTTTACTCTTGCTAACTTCACTGGAACAAAGATCTAATTGAGGTAGTAGAAAGAGAATTTCTCTTAAAAACAACCTTGGTTTTCCAGGATTTCGAACAGGAATTGGAAATATGCCTCATTTCTCAGTTTAAACACCACATAGGGCGATAAAGAGTTGATAGTTTCGGTTATATTTTAAAATTTAAAATAAGAAAAACCCATTCAAGCATATGAATGGGCTGGAGCTTAAGAGTTAGGGCGATTTGCTCCTAAGATTTGACTTGTTTTCCTCCCAAATTATCGCTTATGATACTAAAAAAAAATGAATGGTCCCATTTGAATATTTCATTTGAGCGGATAGAGGTTGTGGCCTGGTGGTTGGGAGGCCTTTCTCTTCGCCGAGTGATTTGTTCCTGAGTGCATCCTAACACTTATAACTGTTAGTAAGTAAACCAGACAACGACATTGTTATGAAATTGGAGAAAGAAGAAGCTTCTTTTTGGCTGCAAGAACATCCTTTCTTGCAAGAGAGAGAGGTAAGGGAGAGGGAAGGGAGGAGAGGGAGAGGGGAGCTGTAGGAATTGTAAATTCCTTTATTATTGAGCTTATTACAAGGGGGTTTACTCTTGATGAACCTCTCATATATAGAGAATATAGGATATGATGGACCTATGAACAATATAACTAAAACCGGACCAATACAAAATAATTTTCACCTTGGTCCTATTTTACGATCAAAGAATCACCTATTCACAAGAACTCACATTTGGTGCAATCTGACTGGCTCCTTGCATTAACTCCACGAGCAAACCCACTGACCCGAGCTTAATCCATCTTGCGTTTGGTCTCTATTGTGCTTTATGATCTATGACTATAGCTCGCGCACTTGCGCGTTCTAATCCACACGGGTCTGCACTAGGGGTGTAAGTGAGCCAAGCCGGCTCGTGAGCCGGCTTGATATCGACTAATTAACGAGCTCGCGAGCCGAGCTTATCGAGCCACAAGCTCGATGATGCTCGGCTTGTGAGCTCGCAAGCTGCCTCGAACTACTATTAATATTTTTAAATAATATTTATTTTATTTAAATTTAAATTGTTAACTAAACTTAATGATAAACACTGATTGCTAGCTAACATTTACATCTTTTTCCAACCCCGCGTGAGCTGACTAGTCCTTTTGTCAAATGGAATTTAAAAGAAATATTAAAAAGTACGAATGGCTTAAAGAAGTGCACATTTAAATGCTTTTTTTCTTCCCAAAAGGAGCAACAATACAGAAGATTAACATCGGAAGGCGTAGTAAAAAATCCCGTGTGAGGAAGACCTCGGACCACGCGACAAAACTCCTCGAGGTGAACAACACGATGCTCGACGCTGGATTGCTCGACAACGACACTTGCGAAGCAGCGATCACGACTTTACGAGTTTGACCAGAGGCTCGCGAGCCAGTTCGAGCTTGTTTACAAATGAGATGAGCCGACTTGTGCAACACTTTTGGGCTCGACTTGAGCTCGAGCCTACCTTTTGATTGCGAGTCGAGCTCGATATGTTCACCATTCGACTCGACTCGACTTGTTTACACCCATAATCTGCACCCATTGTTGTTCCTCCCGTGATCAGCACGCCGGTGTCTTGTGCATAGCCTACTCTAGCACGGTACATCCGAGCCCCACCACTAAGCATCCTCCAGCTTACCTGTCTTCCCCGGACACCTGTGTGTGCTCCAACATGCGACCTCACACGTGTCACCCGTCTGATCATGAACTTGAAGCCCACTTCTTGCACACACTTGCGTGATATGCTCCCAGGTTCTTGATCCACTGCTTCGACACACTAAATCTGATGACCCTTCTTGCTGATTTGCTTGTGTTCTGGCCCGGAGACTCCACTTCAAAAGATTTAAATAGATATTTTATCAAGACGAACAATATTTGCTTCAAATTGACCCCACGTGAAAATGCCTCTAACCCTGCACCTAGACCTTGCCTCCTAATCCCATAACCCAGCCTCCAATCTATGATCTCGCATGAAACTGTGCTTCTAGCTACTCCTGCTCATACGACCCGACCCGCTCCATCTCACGTAGTGCAATCCGATCACAAACCCACGATTTGTTTCCACTTCTATGCATGAACGAAATAGAGCCCACACCTTGTTTCCCCAAGCTAGTTCTCCTATGTGGCCCAGGCTCCCGCTTCGTGCCCGCACAGTGCCTCAGGCACACACTTGCCCACTCTCTACCCTCGCGTTTGCTTGCGTGTGTTCACTGGCGGATGTCCTGCGACCAAGTCAGGTCTGCGTTCTCCCAGGCCGCCTGTTGTACTTACCGCACTTTCCTTTTGTGCCCACACATGACCTGCCCGATCATGTGCCTGCTTCTGCGCTAGCGCAATGTCTGATTTGATTTTTTTGTTCGTTCGTTAGGCTCCTGTAACCAAGTGTCTGAACTGAGCGTCCTATGACCAGTGCCTCACACGACACCTCCCGCACACGCGAGCCTTTGATTCAGCCTGCCCGGCTTCTTCCTCGTATAACAGTCGCGTCTGAATCTTCCATGCCCGATCGCTCGAGTCGACCTCCATTGTGCGTTTTGATCCACGACTCTAGCTCGTGCTCCCGCTCATTCTAAACCACGTTCTTCTACACCCGTTGTTGTTCCTCCCTTGATCCGCACACTCGTGCCTTGTGCATTGCTTGCTCCCACACGACACATTTGCGCTTCAGCAGTAAGCAACCTTCGCTTGCTAGTCTTCCCCAGACTCCCATGTGCTTTCCAACCTATGACTTCGCACGAGCCACCCGTATGATCCCATGCCTGGCGCCCACTTCTTTAGCACATCCGCGCGAATATAGATTATGATGGACCTAGGAACAATATAACTAAATTGGACCAATACACAACAAATCCAAACAACAACAAGAAGAAATAACGAAAATGAATACCATAATTTAACATAGGAAAACACGAATCCGAAAAAAATTACGGAGACATACCACACCAAGAAATTTACTATGACAATTGGGAGAAATATATAAATCACTCTTCTCACACTCTCTTCTTTTCTCTCTGCACTTCTCTCTTCGTTTTTCATGTAGAATAGAAAAGAGACTTTTTTGTACACCAAAATGCAACTCTTCAAGTGAAACTTGAAAACGTAAATAAAGCTGCCTAGCCTGACTCGCAGTGTTGCGATGCTGAAGTCTTGAGCACTGCGGCACTCAATTCTTTGTTTTTGAGTCTACCTTACAGTGCCGTGGTGTTATAGCCTACAACGTCACAAGGCTCTACTCACTATCTCCAACCAGAGACTGCAGAGCAGCATCTCTCAAGTATATTGCGCCTCTATGTTGTACACAAAAGTTTTTTTTTATGGACAAGGCTCCTGAACCTCAAGTAGGGGGGGCTCAATCCCTATAACTCCCTGATGAGCTTGACCAACGGTATTGAGGTCTAAGACAACAATGCAAACCATATTGAGGTCTAACACAATCATATTCCACACAAAACTAACAATAAATTTGAATCCCTAAGGCAGATATGTCAGATAGAATTCTTTTCTGTTTACTTGCTTTTATTTATTTCATATTTCATCTCAAACATCATGATACTTTTCTTGAATGTCAGGAACGACCATGAATTATTTCTTGGATGACCGGATTAACAAGGCCGAGATACTTTTCCCCGGAGTTGGATGCTTCTTAATTGCAGTTTGTCTTGGTTCAGCTGTACATTCCTCAAATTCAGCTGATAATAACGAGAAACTAGGTGGCTCCTCAACTAACTACAAGGACATGTCTGGGTAGAATTTCTCACATATGTTGTTTGTATAGATGATTTGGTCCTCTAAATAAGAAAAAAGTGAGGGTAAACCATCTAAAAAATGGTGCAATTTATATCCAATTCAGTGCTCTTTTTAACATAATTAAAATTTAATCAATTTGCAGTGTCTATGGAGATAACAAGAACGGCATCAATGAACCAAAGAAAGGTAAATAATAGTCATTCATTCATAGTTTTGCAAAATAAATTTTTTTTTTAAATCTGTGATGTTTCTGAAAACCTGGCATGTGCAGATCTAGAGAATAACTTGGATAGTGGATCTAATCATGTCTTAACATCAAAGACAGAGAAAGCAAAGGCTGGCACTGCCGAATTCCTGATAGAACTAGAAAACAGAAGATCAATCAAGGTTTTGATGAACCATTTCTCCAGGAATTTTCTTTTGCAGAAGCTTTGTGTAGACACACTCTTTTCTTGAAAATTTATATCTATTATGCTTATGATTCCCTTATACAGGTTTCGTTTGGGACAGCTTTTTTATTGCTTTCTAAAACGGAGTTTTAGTACAATTTTTTTTATTTTTTACTAAAACTCCATTTTGAAAAGCAATGAAAAAGCCGTCCCAAACGAAGCCTTACTATAATGTTTTTCTTCTGAAACTTGATAGTATTTTATTAATAGATCTCTTACCTGCTTTAAGTTCACAAACCTTGACGCTTACCTTGCAAGCAATCGCCATTTTTGCAACTTCCATTTCATCATTCATTATAAAAATCCAACATATTTCGTTCACTTGGGCAGTTTTTTTTTTATGAATTGAATTTGGGGCCTCCAAAATACACTAGAGGGAATGTAGCTACTGCTCCAACCCACTCTCTATACACTATGGTTTCCTTTGGGACGGCTTTCTTATTGCTTCTTAAAATAGCTTTCTAGTACAAACATTTTAATTTTTTACTAAAAAACTGCTTTAAGAAGCAGGAAGAAAACCGTCCCAAACGAAGCCTAAATAGTAAATAAACGATGCTTATGAGATTATAGGCTCACCGTCCAATTGCTTGCTCCTTTCTCAGGTGATCGGCTCGAACATATTTCTCGGTCTTGGCATAGTGTTTTTTGCTGGAATTTGCTTTTCGCTGTTCTCTCCAGCCTTCAACTTGGCAACAAATGATCAATGGCACACCCTGAAGAAGGGAGTGCCTCATCTGGTGGTCTATACAGCATTCTTTTACTTCTCAGTCTCCTGTTTTATCCTTGCCATCGCTCTAAACATGATTTTTCTTTACAAGCCCATTCTGGGGCTGCCAAGGTCATCCTTGAAAGCTTATGTGAATGATTGGAATGGGAGGCAATGGGCTCTTCTTGCAGGTTTACTTTGTGGTTTTGGAAATGGCTTTCAGTTCATGGGAGGCCAAGCTGCTGGATATGCTGCAGCTGATGCTGTTCAGGTGAGCTCATTGAGCACCAACGTTTGTCCAACTCCAGTAATAATACTAGGATCTGATAAATGATAACAAATTCCAATAGTAATATCTGCTATCACAAAAGCAAAGGATGTTTCCTAGCGTTTCTAAAATCCTGACATATGCTAGAATTAGGATTTGTTTGGGACGTCTGTTTTCTAGTAAAAATTGTTAGTTCAATTAATATTTGTACTAAAAAATTACTTTCGAAAGAAAGCTTTTCCAAATATAGTCTTAGTGGTTATTGTTCGCAAAATATGATAAACTCTTATATTTGCTATAAATTTTTAAGCCTATGGCCCTTCTTATCACACAAACAAATGATTAAAGAAAATACCAATATTTTTATGTGGAAAATTCCGAGAAAGTGAAAAATCACGGTGTCTTGACCAGTCGAAATGGTTCCAATAGTAATTGAAGAGATTACAAAAGTCAATACATCATTTATCCCACAGTCAGGGAGGATACAATTTAATGTATAGTTTTGTTAATCTTCATACGAGTACTCTTGGTGTAAAGATCTGGTGATGGTCCAAGAATGAGCAGAGTTCGACAACGGTCGATGGTTGGGAAGAAATCCTGTGGTAGCCAACGAATGGGCAGAAGTCCAACATGGGTCAGTGGTTGGGAAGAACGTTGGTGGTCGGGAAGAAATCCGGTGTTGGCCAACGAATGGGCAAAAGTCTAGCAACAGTCGGCAGTGGGGAAGAATGTCGGCGGTTGGGAAGAACGTCAGTGGTCGGGAAGAATGTCTTCCTCCCTCCAATTAATGATTTAAACTCTCTAAATATGCTTTGGACCTTTGATTTAGACTCATTTGGGCTCAGATTGAAGTGATTTTGATGTTGTTGGGTTCATCTCGTCGAGATGTTTATTTCAACTGTAAGTTTTTTGAAATCAGAGCTTGGATGATTCCCATTTTAATTTCGGGAATTTCTTGCATGGACATGCCTCGAGATTTGTGACCGATCAAGACAATTTTTACTGATATATCAATTATAATTTGCAAAAAATAGGATAAATTATTATTTTTTCATTATAAGCTTTTAAATCTACAACCCTTTTTATATAAATACCAAATTCTAGAAAATTTTGATCTTTGGAAACAAATATTTTTGTTTGCCAAATCAGAAAACCCTTTCCTTCACTTCACACCATTAATGAAACAGAGACCCCTTTTTTTTCCTTGAAAAAGAAATATTTACATCTGCGTTCTAAAATTTGAATTTGGTTTGAATATTCTTTCTTCGACTGATGAATATTATCAATCAGGCATTGCCTCTTGTGAGCACTTTCTGGGGCGTAGTTCTTTTCGGAGAATATAGAAGATCATCAAAGAAGACGTATATTTTGCTGGTGAGCATGCTTTCTATGTTCATCGTCGCTGTCGCTGTTCTAATGGCTTCCTCTGGACATAGAAAGGCTTGATGGTGGGAACTGAAGAACTTACCTACCAATATTTGAAAGTTTATGAATCTTAGTGATTGCTAAAGCAGCTGCAGATACCAAAGATATTTCCCAAATAAAGAGCTGAGGCTTGCCATCAGATCAGTGCTGAGCTGAATGCACAGAGCTTTGTAAACATTTGGGATGTTATTTGTAAATTGTTTGATTTTTTCCAATGTTTATTTTTTTTTTTTTAAATATTTATGTTTTTTTAGGTGGGACATCTTTCATATTGCTTCTTAAAGAAGCTTCCTAGTAAAAAAAATTAAAATTTTTGTACTAGGAAGTTGTTTTAAGAAGCATAAAGAAAGCTGTCCCAAATGCAATGGTTATTACGTCCTCCGACCTGACGTAGAGGAACGTCCGGTCGGAGGCCAAATCGCGCCAAAAAACGAGAAATACCGAGCAATACCAAACAATAACGAGGAATTCCATCACGTGAAGACCCAATACCGAGTTATACCGAGCTATATCGAGCAATACCGAGTTATACAAAAGTTGTACCGAGTTTTTCAACTCGGTATTGGTCGGTATTGGTCTTCACAGAGCGGTATTCCTCGTTATTATTAAATAATACCTAGCAATACTGAGCAAATACCGAGTTTTTTGGCATGATTTTGCCTCCGACCGAACGTTTCTCTACGTCCTTACACCGGACCTAATAAAAGTTCTTCCCAAATGATGCTTTAATGTAATTTAGGATTTGTTTGAGATAGCTTTCTTATTATTTTGTGAAGCTGCTTCTTAATACAAAAAATATCTTGAAAACAAGAAAAAAATAGTGATATAAAGCTATCACAAACAGATTAGTTTGGGATGGCTTCTTAGTGCTTCTTAAAACAATTTTTTAACAGTTATTTATGCAATTTAATAAGTTAAGAAATATTTGTTGAAATTAAGCTGATGCTTAGTATTTCAAATTATTTGTAACAGTTAAGAAATATTTCAATTTTTTTAATAATTAAAATTATTTAAAATGAATATTGAAATAAATTTGCGAATGGATATGAAAATAAAATTATTAATAAGTAAAGTTAAAAAGAAAATAGTTAAATATTAGTAGTTACAATTTAATAAGTTGTAAATGATCATGACTTTTTAAGGTCTAAAATAAATGATTTTCTTATAATTTTATTTAAATTTTAGTTATAGCATCCACAAATGAAAATTTATTATGCTTATTTATGCAATTTAATTTTATTATTTAAAAAATAAACCTCAAATAAATAAATAATTAAAGACCATAAATTAATTTCAACTTAGGCCCCCGTCTGCGGTCTGGCCTTACTCGAACCAATCCAGCGATGCCACAAAGAAAAAAAAAGGACAAATTACTGAATTAGTAAAAAAAAAAAAAAAGAATTTTAAAAAATTCACGAAATATCACACCATTTATTGCCCCTTTTTTCTTACGAATTCCTGTCGCTTCAGCCTGGTTCTTCACTCTTCCGTGAACTGGAAGCTCATCGGATCGCCTACTTCTTCTCTGCAATCTCTTACAGGCGGCTATGAATTCGTCGCCTGAGGATCGCCGGAGTGCTCGGGTGGGATTAGCTTACGACGAGAGAATGTGTCTGCACGCCACACCCGATGGGGAGAGCCATCCGGAAAACCCCGAGCGGATTAGGGCCATATGGAGGAAGCTGGAGGCGGAAGGCATTCCTGACAGGTGTTGATGTTTTTCCATCGTTTTTAGTTCATAGTTAAAATTTCTACTTGAAGGAATGAATTGTTAGAAGAAAAAAACTACATTTTTTAACATTTTACTTATTTAGTCTTTTTTCATTAGGTAGCAAATTGTCATAGGTGTAAAAACTCCTTTCAATAATTTCAAATATTGTAGAACACTCCAAACATGAATAGTGAATTTAGTACTCTTTCGAAGCGTTCCTCTTGCGTTTGCATGTTGTAAAGATCCAATGTCTTACCGAGGGTATCACTATGACTTATTCTCAAATGATTTCTTGTTACTAAAGACTACATGTTCTCTAATCGATGGTTTTGATATCAAATGGAACCATTGGTAAGCATGCATGATTGGGATTCTTTGAATGGTTAGTTTTGTTGTAAAATTGTACCGTTAAATTATAGGCTCCGTCAGAGCTCGCGAGTTCCATAATGGCCAAAATATCTTGAGTAATGAATTACCCGGTGCATTTTATAGTGCATAGAGTTTTGTGTTTGCTAATAATTACTTAAATTTATCTATTTAGATAAATATCGACCTTTGGTTTATAAGTTCCTTTTGAAACAAGAATGGAAAGAACGCAGCAGAAGCCAAGATGGAGGAAACGCAGAAACAGTAAAAGGGAAATTTTCTATTCATCATAAATCTATAGAACTACAACCAAGGCAATAAATAGAAAAGATAGCTAATGGTAGGAGTACACGTGTACAGGTAAAAACAAGAAATTATACAACGGCTAACTCAGCACTCTACTTGTAATAGGCCCCCTCAAACTGTTGCGTCAGAGGAGGTAACTAGTTTGTGTGAGAGGAGCTGAAATCTTGGAGTAGGAAGAGGTTTGGTTAAAATGTCCGCGAGTTGATCTTTGGTGGAGATGTGATGTATCTGGATACTTTTGTCTTTGATGTAGTTTCGGATATAATGACAGTCCACTTCAATATGTTTTGTACGAGCATGGAACACGGGGTTATTGGCAAGAGCGATCGCTGAAGTGTTATCACATAGAAGTGGAGTAGCCGTGGCTTGAGGAGAGTTGAACTCGTGAAGTAGACGACGTAACCAAATTGTTTCTGCAGCTGCGGATGCCAGAGCGCGATATTCAGCTTCGGTTGAAGACCTGGCAACCGCGTTCTGTTTCTTGACACCCCATGAGATAAGAGAAGATCCCAAGAAGGAGCAATAACCGGTTGTCGACTTCCGGTCGGAGGAGTCGCCCGCCCAATCCGAGTCCACGTATACATGAAGATGAAGTTGTGAATTGCAAAAAAGAGAAATACCATGATGTAAGGTACCTTGAATATATCTTAAAAGTCGTTTGAGAGCTTCGAAATGAATAATTAGTGGATTTTGCATGTGTTGACATACCTTGTTCACCGCAAATGAGATGTCGGGTCTGGTTAACGTGAGGTACTGAAGAGATCCCGCAAGTTGACGAAAAAGCGTCGGATTGGAGAAGGCCCCGGCATGAGTTGACTTGGACGAGAGTTTTAAAGGAGAAGGTGTGGAAACAGTTTTACAGTTGAGCATGCCGGCTCTGGATAGATTAGTAGAGGCGAAGCGGTGTTGATTGAGATGCAACCCGTAGGAGGTATGAGTGACTTGGATACCTAGGAACTGAGATAAGGAGCCGAGATCACGCATAGTGAATTTGGAGTGTAGTTGTTGCAGGAGTGATTGGATAGATTTGCTACAGTTGCCGGTTAGAAGGATGTTGTCGACGTAAACAAGAAAATACATTGCAATCCCGTTTTTGTTATAAATGAGAAGAGAAGGGTCCGAAGTGCTAAATTGAAAGCCAAGAGTTTGAAGGTAACCGGATAGGGTGGAATACCACTCACGAGGGGATTACTTGAGGCCGTAGAGAGCCTTTTTCAAGCGGCAAACGTAGGTGGGATTGATAATATCTTTGAAGCCTGCAGGTTGACGCATGTAAACGGTGTGATTTAGATGGCCGTGAAGAAAAGCATTAGATACATCGAGTTGATGGATAGGCCAATGATGATGAAGGGCAACAACGAGAAAGACACGGATAGTGGGAATTTTAGCTACTGGGCTAAAGGTTTCAGAGTAATCTATTCCGTATTCCTGATTGAATCCTTGGGCAACTAAACGGGCTTTATGACGAGCGATAGTACCGTCAGCTAAATATTTAGTGCGGAAGGTCCATTTGGATCCGAGGACGTTTTGATTTGGCTCGGGAGGAACGAGATCCCATGTACCTTGCATTTGAAGCGCTTGAAATTCCTGTGACATGGCGTTGCGCCAATGTTCATGTTTAGCGGCTTCAATATAGGTAGTGGGATCGGAATCATGGTTTTGATGAAAAAGGTTGAAAATGGTCTTAGGCTTCAGGTGCCCGGTTTTGAATCGAGTCTGCATATGATGTTTTGAGGGTATAATGTGCTGAGCGGGATGAGATAACTGGATGGGCTGAGAATAATTGTGAGAATCGGAATTTTCGTCAGGATGAACGACGGATTGAGTAGAATTGGAGTTAGGCGTGAGCGGGACAGAGATAGAGGTGTCGTGAGTTGTTTGTGAAGGCGAACGTGTACTCACAGGAGGAGTCTGAGTGGGTTGATTGGTAATGATAGTAGAGGTGGGGACAAGGGTAAGCGGAGGTAGAATAGTGTGATCTGAGTTGATTTTAGTGAAGTCGATGTTGGATTTGTACGGAAAGATAGATTCGTTGAAAATAACGTGCCTTGAGATATACGTTTTGCCATTAGAAGGATTGAAGCATTGATAACCTTTTTGTTCCTGAGCGTATCCAAGAAAGATGCAGGGGGTTGATAGATTGGATAGTTTGTTTGATGAGTAGGGTTTTAGCCAAGGATAGCATAGGCACTCAAAAATTTTGAGGTGATTATAAGTTGGCTGACGTTTGTGTAGAACGAAGTAAGGGGTGTTATTATGAATGGTAGGTGTAGGTAATCGATTGATAAGATAGATAGCAGTGTGAAGTGCCTCTTCCCAGAAAGTTTGAGGGAGATGAGCTTCGATTAAGAGGCTCCGAATGGTTTCAAGAATGTGCCTATGCTTACGTTCCGCGACGCCGTTTTGAGCTGGGGTATAAGGACAAGTGTATTGATGGATGATGCCTTGTTGAGTATAAAATAATTTGAACTGACGATTGATATATTCACCTCCGCCGTCGGAGCGAAGAATTTTGAGTTTAGCGTTAAATTGACTACTGATCATGGTATTAAATTCTATAAATTTATGAATAACCTCAGATTTTTGATTGATAGTATAAACCCAACAGTATTTCGAAAAATCGTCAATAAACGATACATAATATTTTGCGCCATTAGTAGAGAACGTGGGTGAAGGACCCCAAACGTCAGAATGCACAATTTCAAAACAAGAACTACTAGAATGATTAGATTTATTGAATGGCAACCGATGGCTTTTAGCAGATCGGCAAGAGTTACAGTTTGAATCATAAGCAGTAGTACATAGAGAAGAGATCTGTGTGGTGAGCTTATTTAGAGTAGAAGCTGCGGGATGGCCCAGTCTTTTGTGCCAGAGGTGAGGTATGGCTTGAGTCGAAAGAAGAGCCAGGTGGTGATTCTTGGAAGAGGGCCGGAGAGGGTAAAGGCCATTAAGGCATGGCCCCTTGAGAAGAAGCCGACCCGTCTTCGAATCCTGAATGCGAAATTCGTTAGGAGAGAATTTGACAATGCAGTTGTTATCCTTGGTAAGACGATGAATAGAGATGAGATTGAATGACAGATTTGGAGCGTGGTAAAGATTATGAAGAACCAGATTACCTTGGGGAGTAGGGAGGATTCCTTTACCTGAATGTTGAATGGGGACTTGGTGACCATTCCCAAGTGTGACTTGATGATTCTCGGTGTAAGGTTTTATGGATTGAAGTTGGGAAGCGTTTGAAGTGAGATGAGAGGATGCGCCGCTATCAAGATACTAGTCCGCCGAACTAGTGGAGTCCGAAGGGGAGAAGAGTGCAGTTCTTTGGGCTTGAGACTCTTCTGTGTAGGAGGTATCGTGACGGTACCAGCACTTTAACGCTGAATGGCCGGATTTGGAACAGATCTGGCACGTGATTTGGGGATGTCCAGGTCTGTCTGAGCGACGAGCAGAACCTCGCGATGATCGATTGGGAGCCGAGGATCGACCTCTGTTCGAAGTATTGCGACCGCGACCTCGCCCATGAGGAGCGAAGAGGGCAGTAGACGGTTCAGTAATTTGAAGATTTTGCAGTTCTTTAGTGGATTCTTGAACGAGATTTTGCTCCTCACTGCAAAGAAGCGTGTACAACATATCGATACTCATGGGTTGAAGATTTGTTCTAATGGCGGTCTTAAAAGCTTGATACTGAGTTGGTAAACCGTTTAGAGTGTAGAAAATAACTTCTTCAGAAGTAAGGGGAGATCCAGTGGCGGCGATAGCGTTGACGTTGGTCTTGACAGCAAGGAGATATTGGGACATCGTTTGAGAACGCATTGATAGATTGTTGAGTTCATTTCGCAGCTGAATAGTTCGGGATCTAGTGGAAGATTGAAGGCGGAGATCTAAAGTTGCCCAGATGTCATGACAGTGATCTAGAGAAAGAACATAGGGAAGAATGCTAGGGGAAATGACAGAATAGAGGGCAGCAGCTAAATTTTGGTCAAGAAGATTCCAGGTTTGATGAGAAAGAGAGGAAGCAGGATCTTGAGATGAGGGGCAGCTGGAACTGCCGTCCAGAAATCCGTCAAAGCCGTTGGCACGAAAAATTTTGAAGACTTGGGAGCGCCACATAGGATAGTTCTCAGCAGAAAGAGGAAGGGAGATGATGGATTTGATATTACCCATTAGAAATTTGAGTTGAGGCGGGATGGGAGGGTAGGTGGAAGAGGTTGCCGAGTCTTGGTGTTCTTCCGGTGTGGTGGTAGAGAGAGATGCAGCAGCGGTCTCCATTGAAAAGGCTGGAAAGGAGACAAAATTATTGAGAGGCCTGCTCTGATACCATGAAACAGGAATGGAAAGAACGCAGCAGAAGCCAAGATGGAGGAAACGCAGAAACAGTAAAAGGGAAATTTTCTATTCATCATAAATCTATAGAACTACAACCAAGGCAATAAATAGAAAAGATAGCTAATGGTAGGAGTACACGTGTACAGGTAAAAACAAGAAATTATACAACGGCTAACTCAGCACTCTACTTGTAATACCTTTGAATGAGTTACTCATGGTTGTTGAGAAGAATTCTTTAGTTAGGCTGGGTCAAATACCTCTTTTGACTAAATAAACTAGGGATCATAATAATCCAAGATGACTTAGCCATAAGATTTTGATTTGGTTTATCATAATTTTTCCCACCGTCTGCTTTAAGTATAAGATGATGAATTCTAATCTTAAATCAAGTGTTGCTACTATATGCCAAGCAAGTCGTGCCTATTTATTGGTTAGCTTTAATTGAAAGATTTCTCTCATATAGGGAGGGATAATTAACCTGAGAGGCTTGTGCTTGCGGGAAGTATGGAACCAAATTATAAGGTCCTCATGAAATGCAGACGAAATTTTTTCGCAGTATCTTATTTTAAATCTAATCCACCTTTTAAAAAAATTTACTCGATCCAAAACTCTCTCAATAGAGGCTTGGGTGCAAATTTTTGCGGCTTATTATAAATTTTGGAAGTCATGTAGGCTAGGAATTACAATCACTGGAGTGAAAAGCTGAGTAGATTCAAATTGTCCATGATTCTTGGAAAATTGAAGTTCTATGCATACCATTGATCCAATTTTCAAGAAAAATAAAAATTGTCACTTCTATCTTGAAGAGTTAATGTAGGGATAGTTTTTTGTCCTCATTGAATGGTTTTGATTGAGTTATGAAAGAATTGTGTTGCCGAGAATCCAAGGATCTCTAATTGCTAGCTTCCCTTCCTCCATTCCTCTTGGCTAGCGACTTAGTGCCATGAGCTTCCTCCCTTGCCCCTTATGGTTGGTATCAGGCTTCTCCTTACCCCTTTGTTGTACTTTATGCTAACTTTATCCTGTGGTTCATTTCATTTTCCTTTCTGTTTTACATGTTTTATTTGATTTATGTCATGTAAACTTCAAATAATCTCAAGGAACGATGAGTAGAATAACACGTATACCAATTGAAAATAAGAGGATGTGACATGTGACGACTGAAATAACGGCCTTACTGCAATCTCAAGTTATCATTGTTGTCCATATTGTCCAGCACTTGAATATTCATCAATTTGAAGAAGTTTTCATGTTTACATACAATTGACTGAAAAAATATTGTTAGCTTGTGTTTCATTTATTGAAGAAAGAATAGATGATTAGTTGAACAAACTGGATTATGTTTCATTCTGTATTAGCATTGAGGATGATATTCTATTCATTTTCATTGGATCTTTTTATGGAAGCATCAGACTCATATTGTTCACGGGTTGTGAACTAAACTTGCTGAGCTGGTTTATGTATCTTATATTGAAATGATCTTTTTTTTCCCCAAGTACTAATCTTTTTTTAAATCTTTCAGGTGCATATTGCTTAAAATCAAGGAAGCTGAGGATGCAATTATAGCATCTGTGCATACGAGGAATCACATAAAGCTGATAAGAAATATTAGCTCTAAGAAGTTCGATTCTCGACGTCTGATGATTGCTTCGAAGTTGAATTCTATTTATTTTAACGAGGGTTCTTCTAAGGCAGCCTATCTTGCTGCAGGAACCGTTATTGAGGTTGAGCACTTTAATCCTAATTCAAAATTTGGTTACTTTTAATATTTTCTCAATTTAATAGTCTTAGCATTGATCTTAAATCCTGCCTCTTTTTATCTGTAAGATGTATTTTTCTTTCACCTATTGTTAAGATTTCAATTTGTAGATATCATTTATTTCATATAGGCTACAGAGAATGTTGCGAATGGGAATCTGGATTCTGCCATTGCTGTTGTTAGGCCTCCTGGTCATCATGCAGAAGCTAATGAAGCTATGGGTTTTTGCCTCTTCAACAATGTGGCAATTGCAGCATCCTATCTCTTGAATGAGAGAGTATGTACAATATTTATATAACATTCATAGACAAGTTTAGGAATAGCTTCTAAGATTTCATCCTCAAATCCTGATGAAATTAATTTCCGATCATCTGTTCATGTTAAATGATTCTGTTATTTTTATTTCTTTTTGCAGGCAGAATTAAGTATGAGAAGGATATTGATTGTGGACTGGGATGTTCATCATGGCAATGGTACTCAAAATATGTTCTATAGTGATCCTCGGGTACTTTATTTCTCAGTACATAGGTACATTTTCGTTGTTCTAACTATGCATTTAAGATGAACTATCTTGTAATTTGAATATCCATATATTGAATAATGAAATCATGATTTATTTCATTATAATATATATATATATATATATATGTATATTTATATTTTCAAGAGTAATATTTGCTAGTAATTGCTATTGATTTTGCAGGTTTGATTTTGGAAGTTTCTATCCAGCTGGCAGTGATGGTTCTCACTGTATGATTGGAGAAGATCAGGGTGTAGGGTACAACATAAATGTACCTTGGGAACACGGTCAATGTGGCGATGCAGACTATCTTGCTGTTTGGGACCATATTTTGATTCCTGTAGCCGAGGCATACAATCCAGACATAATCTTAATCTCTGCTGGATTTGATGCAGGTTAAGTTAGTTTGTTTTTGTTACAGGGAATTTTAAATAGTTTGATTTAAAATTTCTTTTTTCTTCTTGGAAACATGCTCAATTTTTTTCATCCTTTTGAGGACATATGAACCAAATGCAATCACTTTAGATAGTTTTTTCTATTCAACCGGTATGTTAAATAGATTCTTTGCAACTGGCTCGTTGGATTTAGATTATTTCTCTCAATTCCAAGAGAAGCCAAGACCAAATGTATCCAATTATTGCTGTTATTATCCATGAAGAGAATGTGGTTTAGTTCAAAAAAAAAAAAAAGGAAATAAATGCTACAATCTAGTGATGAAGGCTGCAACAATGGGAACAATTTGTGGAAATGCAGTGATAAAAGCTGCAATAATGAGAAATGTATGCGACAATGTAGTGATGAAGGCTGCAGTTATATAAATAGAGATGAAAAGGAAGAGAGTGTGAAAATGAAGGCTGCATGATTGTGATAATGCATCATAAATGCTGTATTAATGGAAATGTAAGGAAGAGAAAAAGCCTAGGGCTTTGATATCATGACACTAATTTGAGAGAATTGGTTAGTATTTAATACCAATATATCAGTAGTTTTATACAATCCTAGAGAGCTTCTAATATAAAATATGTATAATTTGGCAATCATAATTATTAAATCCCATAGATTGATGAGATGACATCTAGAATTCCAGGGATCCATGAGTTGGCATTTCAAAGAAGGACATAGAGCAAGATGGATGTTGGAATCCATGAATCTTGGTTGGAAGGGTGGAATGACTAGTGAAGGAATTCAAGGGCTTTTCTCACTATTTATGATTTTGTTGCCTTTAGAGTGATGTCCTTGATCTCTTCCTTGGTCTCTTCTTAACATATTTTAACACATGCCCTTGATGTCTTTTTAACATATTTTAACACACTTTTGCAGCTATGGGTGATCCACTTGGTGGGTGCTGTGTCACTCCATATGGTTATTCAGTTATGCTCAAAAGGGTGAGCATTCGTTTCATTACATGGCCACTTGTTTTGTTATTTTAAACAATTTTAAGCAGTTTTTTATTGTCCAGTCACTTTTTGCTATTCCATGCACAAGAGTCAAATTGAATTCAGTAGTTTCTGGTGAAGCTTTGACATGTTTTTTTGAAGGGCTATATAAGAATAAATGTTGAATTATCGATAAAGTTGTTTTGGCTTGCAGTGATTATCGAAAAAGTTGTTATGGCTTGCAGTGTAAATGCCCTTTACAAGCTGAAAGGTGAAGCAATTGTAATGCAAAGACATAATTCCTAGTTTAGGGTCAGTAGGATGCAAGTAACATGGTTATAACTTCTAAGCCATTTAGAATAACTTAGCTTAGCTAGAACTAATAAGACCAAAGGTAGTTGTTGATGTATGGAGCATAAGGATTGACAGCCAATCACTCTAGTGGAGGGAACTTCCTGCATTGGGTAGCCCTTTGTTTATTAATTTTAGACATGGGAAACTTCATTCTTCATCCTGTTTTGTCGTGAAGTGCTTCTAAATGCAATCAGGGAACTTCTCTATGAGCTGATTGCTCAATTAATCCAATTTCTTTCTTTGTTTTTTAGCTGATGAAATTTGCTGATGGAAAGATTGTCTTGGCCCTTGAAGGAGGTTACAATCTCAACTCTCTAGCTAATTCAGTTTTTGCTTGTGCAAAAACTTTACTAGAAGGGAGTCCTATTGTTGGAAATTTTGAGGGCAGGCCTTTTGAATCCACATGGCGTGTAATCAATGAGGTACAAACTGATTTGCTGATTGGATCATGCCCATATTTGTACTTTGGGTTTTACATTTTAGCTTTCTTGCTTGTGCTAATTATGCATTTTTTTATTACTATTTTTTATGTTTCTTCTTAATTTTACAGGTTCGTAATGAACTGAAGACTTACTGGCCAGTATTCTCTATTGATCTGCCTGAAGAGATTCTAATTGCCAATGTCGAACGTTACCCAATTCAGGTGTATTTCCTCCTTTTTTTTTATCCCAAACATCTTTGATTTTGTCCATTAGGTGCTAAATTTGAAGTTCTCGGTATCACCTGTTTCGATAAACCAGATTTATTTACTGTTATATTTTGCTTTTTTTTTATTTTTGAACTGTCTTGATCGTTTCCTGTGCTATGTTAGGAGCTTGATGAGAGTTTTTTTTGTCGGATTTGAAATATTTAATAATTAAATATGAAATAGAAAATAATAATTATGAAGGACAAAAACATTATTTTTTATGGATTTAATAATAAAAATTACATTTTCTTTTTATGTGCCTAGAGATTTTTCTACACACAACATGTATTGAATATAGTTTATTTTATTTTGAGGTGCAGGTTCTTCATAAAAGCAAGTCTTAGTTAATTACATCTTAGGAGTGTTTGGCCATTGAAAAAACTTTTGATTAAATTAGTATTTTATTTTTTTTAATCAAAACATTGACTAATATTTTATATGATTTTTAGGAATTTTGTTTTAGATATTTGGTCTTTAAAATTTCAACAATGATTGGATCAACTTAGAATTGATTTTGAATAGAAAATAAATGAGGAAGGTATTAGTAATTGATTTTGAAGGTACTAAAAACCTATCCTATGTTAGACCGTATATTTTGATATTGAATTTATGTTAAACTTCGATTATTTCATTTAAAATGTTGGTGCTTATATTCCAAAAAAATAAAATTAAGGAAATACCTAAGATGGTGAGGGCTTATGATGTAACTAAGAAGAATATCAGTCTTTGATCTTAAATTTAATGTGAGAATCACTGATAGGAAGTAATTGGAAGTTAAATCTACCGAAATGCATGAGACTTATGAATTTAATATCTCATCAAAGATTAAATCAGCTCGATATATAGTCTTACAATCATGCTTGAAAAGGATTGTTGACTAAACTCGCCTGAGTGCTTTTAAAATCATATAATGTTGGTCTTAATACATATATAAGATAGGTTAGGCTATTTTGATATTTAGAAAAAAGTATTTATAGCTTAGCCACTTCTGCTAAGATTTATAATTTTTTTTTTGTTATCTACTCTTTAAAGTGAAGACTTTTATTTCTGTATGTTATTCACAAGGTTATGCACGGGTTGCTCATTAGCTAAATATGTAGGTTTGACGCTGATTTGATAAGCACACCCTTATTGATAAACAGTCAGTCAAAAACTGAATTGTATGCCAAGATTCATAAGGAGACTTTGCATTTCATTTTAGTTTTGAAAAAATTAGCTTGTTTTTTAATAAGTTATAGTTGATTTTAAGATTACTTACATTTTAATAGGTAAAAAAACTTTCTAAAAGCCTACGCCATAAAATGTCCCAGTCACCCCTCAGCAAAACAAAATAAAAAATATATGAAAAAGTGTATATTTTTTCACGCACATTCAAAATAAACAAGCAATCAATCACAATAATAAATCACATAATAATGTAAAGTCCTTTTTATAATTAAGAAATAAAAAAGGATAGATGTGTTACCTGTCTTATGCGATAAAGTTGAGTTTATAGACTTGGCCGACGAGTCTTCAAGCTTTGGCTTTTGATGCATTTATGTCTTTACTTCGGAGTTCATTCTGCTAGTTTATCATTTTTTTGCTATTTCACTCATGCTAGAAAATATTAGAAATGATCTTTCTTTATTAGATTTAAACGAGAATTTCTTTATTAGATTTAACGAAAATTGTGAGCTGAATTTGAAGTTCAGCAAAAAGGCAAAGAACTATTGAGATGTGGAAAACATAGAGGAAGCTTCTATAATTTATGAACTGATGAAGAAAATGAACAAGATATAATTGATTTTCAACTCCAGAGGAAGATCCGTCTCTCCCAATCTTTAGCTGCTAGCTAGAGCCCAATCAATCCTTAGAACAAACTAATTTCAGCCAAATAAGAGATAAGCATAACCCTAGGAAAAACTACTACTTAAAGCATACAATGACATGACAAATATCAAAACAACCCTCCCTAATTTGAACTTCCCTCCAAACTGCCCCCTCTTCTCATGCGTTTAATGCGTGGACCCCACACCAAAGAAGGCGGGATTTGGCTGGGGTGAAACTTTCTTCCCTCATGGATCGGTCTAACAATACCCTCCTCTCAAAGACTCACCTTGTTCTCAAGGTGAAAGGACGAAAGATGATGCTTCATGGTTCATATGGCTCCCATGTGGCATCATAGTCAGGTAGGTTCTTCCAGTGTTTTAGCACTTCCTTACTCTCTCCCTCTCCCTGTCGTACCCCTTTCAGCTCCAGTGGGTCCAACACCACTTCAAAATTTTTTGTCAGTGTCACTAGTAACTTTGAATTGGGTGTATGATCATCAATAACTCTCCTCAACTAGGACACATGGACACTAGGTGTATGGTAGTGGTCAGTGGTAATCCCAATCGATAAGCCATTGCTCCAACCCTCCTCAGTAGCTCATAAGGGCCTAAGTACCTCAGAGCCAACATCTTGTTCCTCCTTTAAGCCACCGTCCTTTGTCTATAGGGACGAAACTTCAAATATACCCTATCCCCCATCTTGAATGGGATGCCCTTCCAATGCCCATCCAGTTGCTTCTTCATGATCTGCTGAGCTCTCAACAAGTGTCTTTTTAATTCCTCTAGCACTTTATCCCTCTCTAAGTATTGTTCCTATGAAGAATTGGTGTGCTACTCTGCCCAAAATGCACCAGGTGGGGTGAATACTTCCTTACACTTTATCCGTCTCATCTAAGTATTGTTCCTCTGAAGAATTGGTGTGCTACTCTGCCCAAAATGCACCAGGTGGGGTGGATCCCTTATGTACAACACTTTAAAAGGAGTCCTCTAGGAAGCCGAATGATACGAAGTGTTGTACCAACATTTTGCCAATGATAGCCACTTGGCCCACAACCAAGTTTTCTCTGACACGAAACATCGCAGGTAAGTCTCCAAGCTCCTGTTAACCACCTCCGTCTGCCCATTTGTCTGAAGGTGTTATGCGGTTCTTCTCTTTCATACTGTCCCCTACAACCTGAGCAACTTCCTTCAAAAGTGACTGAGAAACACCTTATCTCAATCAGATACTATAGATTTCAGTATCCTATGCAGTCTGACCACCTCTCTGATGAATGTTGCTGCCACCGTTATTGTCGTGTAGGGATGTTGTTTGGGAATGAAGTGAGCATACTTTCTCAATCTGTCAACTACCATTAGAATCATTGTAAACCATTCAGATCGGGGTAACCCATTAATAAAATTTATAGTGATCTCTTCCCACACCCTGTCTGGTAGAGTTAGGGGCTGTAGTAACTCCCCTGGAGCCATGGTCATGTACTTGTTCTTTTGACATACCTCACATCTAGCCACCATATCCTCTATATATTGTGCATCCCCTTCTAATACAACTCTGTTGCCAATCTTTTGTATGCCTTCTGCACACCTGAATGACCCCCAATAGCGCTCCCATGGAACTCCTGTAACAGGTGGGGAATATGGACTAAGGTCTGCCCTTCTTCTTTGAAAATCAACCCCTCTACTTGCAAAATCCGCAACCCTTTGCCATACCCACTACTCATCTCCTTCCTAGAACCCATCTTCTCCTTTGCCCCTCTCCTTGTCAGATTAGGGGTTCGACCACTTCCTTGGTTGCTGGTGGATCCTCTCGCCTATGATGACGTTGTTTTGGGTTGGGCCTCTAGCAACATTCTTAGCATTTTGTCCACGACAACAAACTTTCTATCAATCTTTTCATGTACAGATAAAAATTGATTTTCGAAATTTGAAAATTTTTCCACAAAATCTTATTTTAATTGACCTATCTCCCCTTCCAACACTTCTACTTTTCTTCTGGCTATGGGTATCCTTAATTCAGTGATATGATACCAATTTGATAGGAAACGCTAGTAGAAAACCAAGAAAATAGTGGTCTGAGTTTGAATTTCAGCAAAAAGGCAAATAGTGATTGAGAAGAACGGCGTGGAAAATGTAGAGGAAACCTTTATAATTGATGAGCTATGGAAGAAAACGAACAAGATACAACGAATCTTCAATTCAAGAGGAAGATCCGTATCTCCCAACCTATATCCGCTAGCTAGAGACCAATTAATACTTAGAACAAAATAATTTTAGCCAAATAATAGATAACCCTAACCCTAGGGGAAAACTACTACTTAAAGCATACAATTACATGGCAAATACCAAAACAACCTTGCCTAATTTGAGCTTCACTCCAAACCGCCCCTCCTCTCATGTGTTTAATGCATGGACCCCACCCCAAAGGGCGCGGGATTTGGCTGGGGCGCAACTTTCTTCTGCCTATCATACACCTAGGCCGGTCCCTCCTGGACCGGTCTAACATATCATTTAAAAAAAAAATATTATTTTTAAGAATAAAATATATTACATTTAATACAAATGATGTGCATGAAAAATAATTGTCACCACATGAATCAATTTGGTATATAGTAATTTTAGTTGTAACAAATCAAGGTGAAGCTATCAATTCATATGATATTTCATTATGAGCGTTAAACAAGATAAATAAAATGTATAAAATATAGGACTGACAACCCATAAAACATAATATCAATGAAATGGTCATAACAAAAAAATATGTTTATCCTCACATAAATAAAAGTTATTTATTTCCAAGTGAGTGGCACAAAATTCTAAGTTTAATCGAGAGTCTACAATGGCAAGCGGATTTTAACTTAAAGATCCCACACAATAAGACATTTGATCAATTATTGATGCACAAATAATTGTATTGAAAACTAATTGTCAATCAAAAGAGTACAACCTAAATAACATAGGTTACCCTACAATCCACCTGAATTAATTATGATTATTGTGGGATAAAACTTTTATTATTCAACCTAATCATATTATTGTATTTTAACATTGATTAAATGCAAATTAACATATGATGTTAAAAGAACTAATAGCTTTGATTAATTTGTGCTTGTGGATTAAAGAGAAAGGGAAAAGGGGAAGAAGATGAGGTTAGCTATAAGCTCTCCAATGTTCAATTTGAAGAACCCAATGGACGCTTTTGGAGGAAAAAGTGTGTCTTCGAGGAAAGAATAGTTGAAAGTAAAGCTTTAGAATAGGATGATAAGAGATAAGAGTTTGAAGAACCGAAGTAGATGGGAAGAGGGCTCACCATGAAGGAGAAAAACAAAGTGGAAGGCTTTCTTGCTGTTGGGGCTTTTAATCGAAGGATGAAAGAGAAGGTAGGTATGATAAAATTTGTGGCTTTTCGGTTGCTTCACAATCAACAAAGGAGAGAGAAGTGGAAGGTTTGTGGTAGTGAGACTGAATGAGATGCGAAGCCCTATCAACCAGTTACCTTAAATTGAGACGCAAGGGTAGTAATAAGTGTGGGATTTTGTCTGATGATTACAAGTTGAGGGGACAAAGGGAGTGTTGCGCTGTTTGGATCTTGTGATGAGGGGCAGGGTTTGTCGCATGAGATTTAGGTCTATTCGATTTATAATTGGTTTGGTTCTTGCATTGTGTACTACACCTAATTGGAGTACACAGTTACGTCCTATTGTTTACTCTAATCAGATGATATAAACCGATATGTATTTGTCTTATGTAGGTAAAGTTATGTATATAGTCCGCACCTAAGAATTTCTCTTGTTTATGAGGCTTCCTTATAGTTTTGAGAACATTTTCATATATATTTCTACGGCCTCGTTTTTTGGCAAGTACGGTAATTATTCATGGTTAAGACTTAACAAGGAAACAAATATTTGCATATTAGAGTCGCATGGAAAAATATCAGTGGTCTCTGAACTATTGTAGTTCATTAAATGGTAATTTGAGCTACATAGGTTTTCTTTTTTTTTTCTATGTTCAAATTTGATTAGGGTTTTAAAATAGCCTTGTATGTATAAGTATATAGGGAATACTGTTAATTTATTTATTATCATCGTCCAATCATAGTGTATTTCCCCAGAGTCAAATATAAACAGGGGTTTTACAAGAGAAGGCCTTATGCTGTGCAGCGGGAACAATATAGATTCTTCTCATATCATCACTTACTTTTCATGGTTTTAATATTACACTAGTAAGACCTGATGGAAAATTTTCCGACCTATCTGAATGACTAATATTTTTTCTGTTTAAATCATTGACATTTCATTTTATTACGGATTAAAATCCTGAACTGATTTTATCATTTTGAACATATGAATTAACAAATATACCAATGTATTTGTTCAAATAATGCTGATTTTCTTGGTCAGATCTTATGATGATTACCTTTTGGAAATGTATGATCCAACTTCAAAGCTTTGCTCTGATGTTCTAGTTCGTTAATGCACTAGATTATAGGAAGTTTTTTCTTTGCCTGCCTTTTTCACCATAAACTGCTGTTAAATATTGTTTTAGTATCGATTTAACTTCAACCTTAGTGATTGCCAATGATTTTAGGTTACAAGTGGTATTCATGCAATTTATCTCTTTTGTTATGATATTTCACGACTTTCAACTTACATGAAACGTTGAACTCCCAGGCAGGGATCAACTCTAGCTCTGATTCTGATGTGGAAAAGGACCTAGAACCTTCCAACGCTATAAACTTCTCCTCCAACAATGATGTTGGGGATTTGATATTACCTCTTTCAAAATTAAACGTTGATGACGGAGATTCTGGAGAATTGTCCCATTTAAGATCTCAGCAAAACCAACCGGGCACATCGGAAGCATACGAAAACTCAAAGGAGGTAACAACTGAGACATGCAATGATTTGTTTCATTGGAGATCATCTTTGTCAAAGGTTGACGTTTGGTATGGCTCCTATGGCTCAAATATGTGGAAACCAAGGTTTCTCTGCTACATTGAAGGTGGAAAGGTATGATGCTTTATGCATGGAAGCTGCACCATTATAATACTTTATTCTTCAAAAAACGCTTGCCATTGTTTTATCCTTATTTATTCTTAAATTATCTCTGTTGGATGGGACTTAAAAGTCGGCTGTAACACATGCTGTCCAGAAGACTTGTCCTCAAGGCTTCAGTAGGGTCCATTTTATGTGGTATTTATTTTATTCAAGATGTAATTGGCGTTACTTAGTGATATATCACCTGAAACAAGGTGATTTATGCATCTTATTCCATCATCTTATCCCAACATCCCAACTCTATTCAGAATTGCTTTTAAGCATCTGACTCTAGAATCTTAAATATTACTAGGAGACCACTCAAAAATCACAGCTCATCCAAACACATAGTTGAGTAAAATTCTTAGAATTTTACATCAACCTTAACCACTTAAAAATGACCAAAATTGCTTCTTGTAAGACATTATTAGTTACCTTCTTTCTCGTTGGTGAGTTGCCAGATATTTTTGCAGCCCGCTTCCCAGGAAAACAAGATTAAGAATTTGAAAACAAAAAAGAGAAGTGCCAATTCCCGTAAAGTAGGAATAAACACTAGAAAACTTAGGAATTAGTGCCACTTGGTAGTACTTTTTAAGGAAAGAATGGTCCATTGAAGTTAGTCTAAAAGCACTCTTTGGCAAAGTTGGATCAATTAAGTAGTGCTTAGACGGCCATATAAGCAGAAGCTGTGCTAACAAATATTCATATCTTAGAGTTGAAAATAGTAAATTTCTGTTGGGATTGGAGGGTGACACGGAGCTTGGATTCTATAGCAGATGGAATTGCACGTTCTGCCTACTCCGTCCTTTTTCATACTCAACTATTATTATATTTTCTCCTATTTGATATTTTGGAAAATTTGAATGGTTTCGGCAGGTTGTCTATGGCAGGGTCCAGCATAGCTTAAGAATATCTTATCTGATATGCTGGAAAATTAGACATAGTTTTCCAAGTTTAGCCTTAGGTTTTATTCGTTTGTATGTACCAGGAAGTAGGAAGTGATGGAAGTAGGACTAACTTGACTCTTTGGTTTATTCGGGAAAATGGGAAGTGACTTTTTTTCCTTTGGAATTTATACATTGCATTTTAGCATAATTTGCTTTGAAGTTACTTTAGGAAGTAGTCAAATGCAATACTTTCATCTTGTTACAAAATTTTAACCCTATCCACACATGCACACTCACACTTATATTATTATATGTACACATAATTATATTGTTATACACTATATTATTTATTAATATTATATGCATGGCCCTAATGATGATAATATATTACTTTTTTCTCCTAGTTTAAAATTAATACATAATAGAAAGCATGGATTTCAGATAATAGTTTATTGCTATTTATAAATAGTGCCTTAGAGTATACTATTACCTTGTATAAATAAACTATTACTAACTTATATGTAAATTAAAGTAATGCATATAATATGTTAAATAAATAAATTATATAATTATATTATATTATTATTATAAAAGTATACATATATATCTTTTATCCTTGGAGGATGTTTTTTAATTTTTTGGCATCTACCATTATTGATTAACATCATTGTTGCTATCCCAATCCAAGATATACGAGACATCATCAAAAGGCATCATAAGAAGTGAAAGATGGATGAGAGCATTTTATCTCAAAGAAGACCGCATAAATGATTGAAATACTCTTTAGGTATAGAGGGGAGTTAAGTGGAAAAGTTCCCTTCAACTAAAAAGGTTTTTTCTCCAAGAAAGTTACCCCTTGAAAATCCCTTGTCAGATAGGTGGCAATTTTTAAATAGCTCCAAAATAATGGGGAAAATTAGGTTTGCATCGTCTTCAAACCCTCAAAGAACACAAAGGAATAAGCCGAGGAAGTTGAAAATTGATACTAAGAAATACTTGCAATCGCTCAGTTGACCAATAGGTTAGTGGAATATATGTCAAATCTCCAACTTGGCACAGGGTTTACTGTTGGAAAAGACATTAAAGAGGCTTTTATGGTCATAAGCCTTAGTGGTGGGTGGATCTGAGGATAATACCCCAACAGTCTTTGACACTCTCTACAAATATGAGCGAGAAGACTCTCAATAAGAGTTCTCTACCTTTAAAAGAATCATGCTATATGGTTTTACCCTTTACTGGCTCAGATGAGAAACTATCATCTCTTATGAGGAATGCAAAATGAGCCAAGGATATATCCAAAATCAAATTCCCCAATCTGGTAGCAACTTAGATGATTGAAGAATCCGAGGAAGAATGGGATCTGAAGTGTATCACTTACTGATAAGATCTCCTTAAGGAGTGAGAAATAAGTCTTCTCTCTTCAACAAAAGAAACAGATAAAAAAAAATTATATCTGTGAAAATGCTTTGCATCAAGCTCCCTATGAATCTCAAAGGACTACTAAAGCAGTTGTGGATTATAGTGGTCTGATCCATCTTTGCACGACATTGTTGAGCATCTAAAATATTCTCATGATTTTTAGTGACATTCGAGCTAGCTCATCTTATTTTTGAACGAGCCTAGACAATATGAAGTATTTGCAAAACATAAGATGAGAGAGGCCCTATATGCCCAAAACTCCTTAGCAATCACCTCCGGTAATAACTATTTCTTCTTGGGAACAACATAACATAACCGACACTTTTATTTTACGATGGAAAGTAATACTATTCAAATGAACCGAATTTGGGTTGACCATTGCTCTTTTGTTAATCTTGTAGGTTTTAAGACACTTCGATGATTGAGTTTCCACAATCAATATTCAAATGAATTGAATTTTGTGTTAAAAGTTGAATTGTTTAATTATTATTTCTCTCAAATTTAGTTATTATCGGGTGGTTGGATACATTAATAAAAAAAAAATTGTATGATTGTATCACTAATTCTTGAGATGTGGGCATGGCTTTCTTAAACTACTTGGTTTTAGATGGAACCTTTTAAACAATTTCAACATGGATGAACGATCCAAAAAGTTGTTTCCTACATCAGGAGCACGCATAACCAAGTAATTTTTTTCTCCTGGGTCGGCTTCTTTGCTTGTATACCTCTACTATCTTGTCTGGTCTCTTAATGTTTTTAGCAATCTTAATATAAAATGTTAAAAGTAATTTAGGCGATACTTGGAATATTATGAAGCTAGATCATTCATGCAATGAAAAAGATCGCAAAATTACATAAAAGCTAGGTCTTCCTTTTATAATACCACAAACAGACAAAAAAACAACATTTAAACATAAAACAACTTAACTTTCATATTATAAAGATAATGCATACAAACTTATACCATAAAACACCTAAAATTGCTTTCCTTTCATCGAGATGAAAGATACATATGAGATGGACACTTACGGAGAAAAGAATGAGATAAGAAGCCCGAGACGAATCGTAGAAAGGAGAAGTGAAATGGAACAAGCTCGCAAGCTTTTCCAAGAAAAAACCCGCAGGTTTTTTGCTCCAAAAATTCTTCACATAATTTTTTTTTATCAACAAAACAATCCACACACACACACACATATATATATAGATGAAAAGTGGCAGCCAAACAACCCAAAAAACTTCCAGCCGAGCCAATAAGGAAAGGGGAAACAGAAGGCTAGTAGGCGGCTCCAGCAGTAGAAGCCGAAGGGACCACTTGGGTAGGGAGGGGGGAGGAACGGGCAAGCACAGCCAGCCACAGGATAGGAAAAGCCACAGGACAGGAGCTAGTAGAGAACCGAACGGACAACAGAGAGGGGGAGTGGAAGAGGCAGCTACGGGGAGAGGAAAATGCAACCACGGGAACAGCAAAAGCCAATCACAGGATAAGGAACCAGGCGGAAAACCAAAAGGCCAAAGTGCCAAACCGTGAGGGTAAGAATCCAATTAATTCCAATTTATGAGCTGAAGAAGTATCATAATGAGCTGATTTAAGAAGTAGAACACAACAACCACCAAAAGGGAACATAATCCAAGCCAACCAAGCCCACACGAGGAACCAAATCAACTCCAAAACCAAAGCATATCCATTCCCCCCCCCCCTCCTCTTTGCCCACATCAATCATGCACTATAGATCTTGATTCCTACCTTATTGGAGATATTATCATGGAGTTTTTATTGTCTGGTTAATGCAAATACTTTGTTCGCTACAATATCCCAAGTTACAGGAAGAAAGGCACCACAGTTAAATTCTAATGAAACTTAGTTTTAGCCCATCTTATATGGTATTTATGGGTCACGGATATAGAACTATCTGATACGCCCTAGGGTTCCCAAGTTAGGGTTTGCCCTAATGCTCTTCCAAAGATGAAATTTCTCCTCCAAATCCAAGAAAAAATCAACACAAGAGGGATGAGAGGAAGAACAAGAACCTTTGCATTCAAAATCCAAGAGAAACAAGATACAATTTGTCCACTTCGAGAAGGACAAGATCTCCCACTACAAACCCTAGAAAAACAAGAGAAAGAAACTAAGGAGGCTAAGAGAAAACTCCAATCTTGCATAACCCTAGAAATCCCCCCTTAATCCCTACTTATAGCAAGCAAAAGACCAAACCAAACCCACTAGTGGGCTGCCCAAGCTGAACCGCCCAGCTCAGGCCTGACCCGAGCCAAACCGGTCCATAAATGGACCGGTTCCGCTCAAGTCGAAGCCCCCGCTCCGCTCTGCGTCAAGCTCCGCGCCCGCGTCCCTCCGCGCGATCCTTCGGCGGATCGGCCGACGCGGCCCTCCTTCCCGGCCGCTTCCGAGCGCTCCGGGGTCGCCGGCCCTCCCTCTGCCGGTCGGCGGCGGCCCGCATCAAT